CAGAAAAGAAATGTCCATTTAATTGCCGTTTTGCTCTGAATTTTGATGAATCTAACTATTTTGCATGCAGTGCAACATTCAGGAAAATGTTCCCTGAGTATGTTGACAAGTACAACCAGCAGCGGCTTTCCGAGCAAGCTGCCTCTGAACAAACGGCATCTGAGGTGGCATCTCGTGACAAAAGTTCAGGGCCCATGTTGAGAAAAGTTACGGGGTCTACAGGAGAAGACATGAAAGTAGTAGATGAATTGAAAGAGGGGAGGAAAAACAGAAAGCAATCTTTACCCACATGGATGATGTTGTTGCTCTTCTCCATTTTTGGGCTTATAATGGCATTGCCTCTGCTTCAGCTGTGATCATGGACCACGTAAGGATCTTTATGGGTGTGACTGTGGATCCATAAAGTGTCGTCCTTACTGGGTTTGATTCTATAAGCTACTTGCTTTTATTTTTTTGGTCATGACTAACATGAATTGTATAGGGAATTGATGGACGTGAAGGCTGCTTTCTTATGTGTGGGCTGATTTTACTCCTTTATGTCTTTGGTGCCAGCTTCTTGGTGGTAAATACCAAAAAAGTTGCATGCTTGTGATGTCCCTATGAATCCAGTCTGAGGTTGTCTTCTGGTCCTGTTCTTGTTTAAATGCTTTAGTTGTTGTGCAGTGTATGTGCATGCAATGATCACTTATGGCAGATTAAGAAGACTAAATTATGACTGTTGCGTGTGCATACGCTGCATAACTATATGATATCTCCGAATTTCCCTTCTTTTTCTTCCTACGCGACTTGTTGTAGCAGATTGCAATTGTTCTCGAGGGATGGCCTAGACTATTACTATAGGGAAAGATATCTGATTTAACTTAGCGTAACATTAGTTTGCTTTAAGTTTCTTTTGGTAATTGGTATGTACAAAATTTAGAAAAACTTAGAAAAGATAGAATCATTCCCATTCTCTCTCTAAACTGTTCCGCTTCCTTTAATTGCTCCAACGGATACTCTGTTAATATTCTAATGAAAATATAATACAATTCACGTTGATTTGTCTATAGAGAATTTTTTGTGGTATATAATAGAAATTTATTTTCGATGCAGTTTGTGTTCTACACATGATTATGCAGTTTGCTTTAAATATAATTGATAACAAATCAGCAGCAAGATGGTAGCTTACAAAAGTTTTAATTTGAAATCCTCAACATCAAATTTATCTGTAGAAAGCTGATAGTGTGCTGGGTTTATCCTGGTTTGGAATATTAACTGCTATTATAATAATGAAATATTTATCTTAAAGGGATTTAAGCCTTTACCATGACTGAAAAAATTTAAACATTGATCTAATATTAACAGATAGGATTAACAGAAATAACTATACTTCAAAAAAATAAAAAAATAAAGTAAAAACTAGGATTAGCAAATAAAAAAAAGGATAACAACAAAAAAAAAGCTGAAATTTTGTAAATGTCAAATAAATTTGTTGTTATTTACAAATTCAGACTTATCAATGTTATGTTACTAAACCTGATCTAAAATTTATAATTTTCAGTTTTTTTTCCTGTCATTCTCTTATCCTCTGGAAAAAAAATAGACGAAAGCAATTACTCGCAAGTTAACCGGAGCGTCCGGGAAATGCGGCATGTTTGTCGCGGCCATGCGTTGAAGATATTTATTACTGACGGATCCCTGGATCACGGATCCACCCCACAATCATGTCTCTACTTTTACGTTTTCCTATTTTAAATTTAAAAAACACGAATTTTGGAACCATTTCCTAAAACAAAAAATTGAACCAAATTAATTACGCTGGGATAAAATTGGACGACTAAATAAAGAGTACTTTTTAAATTTTGGGTGTACATTCAAAAATAATTCAGGATGCTAGTTGCATTTTTATCCTATTTTAATTTGAATTTTATAAACTCTTTGTGCAATTCACATTTTAATAAAAATTAAAAATAATAATTTCTATCACAGGAATATTACTTTCTATTTGGTAGGGAACAGAAAAGGCAGAAACTCCGCATGTTCAACCACAAGACAAGATTATGCTCTTACGAGCCTGTTTTTTCCTCAATTTTTTTTTTGGTCAGAAGAAATTTATATTATTGATTAAACCAAAGCATCCAAAAGTTCAACCACAACAAAAACAACTAAAAAACCATGGCCCATCCGCTGGAACACAGCCAAAAAATACGGAAAAACTAAAACAATTAAGTAAAAGAAATTCTGCTTCAAGTTTTGCGCCTCCAGGCTGCAATAACCCAATTTCTGTGAAGAGAATCCCACCATGAATATGGCTAGAAGGGATGGTTGTCTTCCAACTTGCTTTATGGAGCCCACACCCTTATGTGTCAAAGTTATCTTCCCAATTGCAGCATTAAAACTCTCTCTTTCAACAAGAGATGATGAATCATTCTGCAGATCCATGCAGACCTCTAGAACATGATACAATACAAAAAAATAGAGCCAATTGCACCCATTTATAATGTCCATATACAGAGCAAAATTGATGAATTCATAATTCCAAAATTAAGCATCAAATCTTGCATCTTACCCTTTCCCGGTTTCCCCCTTTAAAATTTAATTACTAGTTAAGGTCCAATTTTACTTTGAAAGTTTTTGTTCATAATGAGTATCTATAAGTTTTTTTTTTTAAGGCAATGTCACCTCAGAAGTAACCAAAACATAACGATATCGTCCTACTCTTAGACATTCTTATTTTTACAAACTAGTTTTTTTGAATTTCAATTCAAACACAATTCAACATATTCAATTTAGCTTCTACCTAACTTCACTATTCCATAAGTTACTTTTTCAATAAACTACTTTTTCAATCGCTGATTCTAACGGACACATCATCCTACTATTAGGAATTCTTAAATTTGACCATTAAAGTCTCCTTTTTGACCCACTATTGCTAATGTCTTCTTTCTTTTTCCCTGGAACTCATTCCCTGTTTCTTTCTTCCGTCGAAAGTGTCTTTCTCTGCAACCAAGGTGGTGCAACCCCTTCATCCCAACTCCTCCGTCCACTTATAGATCCAATGACAAGCATAATCCTCTGTCCTTTGACCCCCCAAGGACAAGCTCCTTCTTTCCTTGGGTCCATGCACGAGTAAGTTAGTTGGTTAGCAGGAAAAAAAAGAACTTAGGACTTAGGAAAAGGATATAGGATGGGACACACTTGATGTCAGCTACTTTCAAATGGATGTTCTATATATGCGAACGCCTGGTCGAGTCGTTTGTTATCCCAGAAACCAACTCCAGAATGTCGTCAGGTTTCAACGTCACTCCCAGCTGCAGCATGAACATGTAAACAATTATACTTGTATGGAAAACTGTGGCTATCCCTCGAAATTAAAAATTTTAATGGGTCTGATTTAAAAAATTTAAAAAGTGCGTTTGATTAATTTTTTCTACTCTTTTATTTCACTTTTTTTTAATTAACATTTTATAATCTCATTTTTAAAATTTTTAAATTGAGCTCATTAAAGTTTTTTTCTCTCCTCCTTTCTATTCCATTTCCCTCATACCAGACATCCCTAAAAATTCTTTTTTTTTTTTGAGTAAACCACACATCCCTAAAAATTCATTCTTTTTATATTAAATTCACAGGTTCAGAAAGTATTTAAGCTTGGCAGATATTTATGATCTTTTTTGGAGGCTTTATAAACATGACTGAACAAGAAGTTAAACATTAATGTTATATTAAAATAGGATTAACAGAACAAATAAATTAAAAACTTAGGATTAACAAATTAAAAAAAAAAAGACTAAAGCAATAAAAATTAGCCGAAGCCTCCGGGAAATGCGGCATGTTTATCGCGGCTACGCGTTGAAGATCCCCCCCCCTTCCAAAAAAAAAGAATTTAAAAAACTTTTGGATTTTGGAACCATCCCCTAAAAAGAAGATAATTCCAAGGGGAATTGATCATCTAATCTGAATCTGAATGTTTTAGGGTTAATGTTTTTTTTTAATCTTAAAGAAGCAATTACATTATTTGTGAGTATTTGTTTGGTGGAAGTTCAAATAAATGAAATGAAATTTAAACAATCTAAAACTAGTTTTTTAAAGCAACACACTGATGAATATGCTTATAATAATTTAGTCTCATAAAGGCTTTGATTCCAGATCACTATAAATTTAGTCAAGAACTTCACCCAAAAAAAAAAAAATTTAGTCAAGAAAGGTGGGGGAAAATAAGGAACTAAAAAGATTTTTTTTTTTTTAAAACCAAAGATAAAGTGTAGTGGTGGGGTGATTAAGTGTGGCCCCATAAGAGGGGGGAAAATTTTGTCATAAATTCTTAAGCATGTTTAGTTACCTTTCAGGTTTTCCTCTTCAAACGTTACTTTCAAATTTGTTGCCTTTCATATAAATCAGTATAATCTTCCAGGTGTTTGTTGCATCTGATCTAGATCTTTTTGTCTTTCCCACTTACTCATTAAATTATTCACTTAATGGGTATTGAAACACTTTAATTTTATCTTTCTCAAAAATCCTTAATTAGTCTTATGAGGTGTTTGGATAGAAACCAAACCATAGTTTCAGAAGTGCTTTTACGGTTTATGAAGTAAATATGTGGAGGAATTTGTCTCGTTTTGCAGAAAAGTGCTTCTCAAATCATGGTTTGGAGGTTGCCAAACACCCCCTAAGGAATGCATCAGTTAAAAAAAAAAGAATCTAACAAAAAGTTTAACGTTGAAAATATGAAAGCTCATCCTGAATTTACCAAAAATTGAAGTGTTCCATGATGTCTGATAAAAATACATCTGTATGGAATTAGTAATTATTACAAGATTAATCTACCTTCCAATTCACGTCACAGGCAAATTTGAACAAGAGATTGTATAATGCCATTTCAGCTACTAACAGTTTGTCATATCTCTATCCAAGTGGCATCGTGATTATGATATCTATCAGAAGAGTGGTTAAAATTTGCCTTTTATGATTCAAGCTAAGAGCTACCAAATCCAACCCTAAAGAAGATTTATTTGCTGTAAAGTTTTCACGGGCCATTATTTTCCATTTCAGATCTCTTCACTTTCTTGTCCCCTCTCACCCCCTCTTTAATGCCCTTCTGTTTTTACAATGACATATTCTGAAATATTCTTACCAAGCTTTCTTCTTTTCTTATCCTCCATAGCTCTTCTGCGTCTCATTTTTTTTTTTCCCTGCTTCTTTCCGTAGTTTTGAATTAATATCTTCATAGATATCTTTGAGGTCAATGATGATGAAATCTCCAACACACTCAAGATCTGAGGCAAGTTATTATGATGCATACGGATTTGATCTGCAGGAGGACTTTTCTCAGGTACCATTCTTTCTTTTTGGTCAGTTTCTTTTCCCGGTTTCTACTCTAAACTTTTTCTTGAAGTGAAAGCAAGTATTTTTCATTTTTATTTTTGGTAATTTCTGAGTTTCTGTTGGTTTGATTAAGTTCTTGGAGGAAGCAAGAAAATATGAGATGACAGAAGCAAAAGTGAAGAGCTCATCATCAGTGCACCCAGAAGGTGGAAGAGGAGGGAAGAGAGAAGAATCAGCAGATAAAGAGAGAGAGAAGAAAAGTGGGAAGAAGAAAAAATCATGGAAAAGTTCAGTGATTTCATGGTGGAAAGCTGAGAGGAAAAGCAAGCCCACCAACAAGGACATTAGTTCTGAAGAGCCGAAGGGTTCTTGTGGGAAAAAACAAAGTCATGTCTCTGGTCCAATATACAACACTGGAAAAGCTTCTAATGCAAAGAAACAATGGCGTCCCCATTCTGGTCCTCTCATCACAAGTCTCTTCTCTAAATCTTCAAAGAAAGAGAATCACAACGAGATTCCCTATGTGTGTCTCGGGCAAAACCAGCAACCAAATAGTCCTCAAGATTTTCACATTCAGAACTATGGTCCCCTCTATATCGTCTCTTGAATCTGCACATCTGAATTTGAAATTCTTAGGTAAGATATGGTGCTTCAAAGCCTACATGTTAGGATGCTGAAACTAATTCCTGAGACATGGCTTGAATGAAGACAACATATCCAACTTTTGAGTTTCTCTATCAGAAATTCACATTCTTCTAACAGAATTTTCCATTTTCTACTGCAAATTGAGTGTGAATGAATGTATTGGCTGTTGAAATGAGAATCATGTTTAATATGGTCATATTCAACATCGTATGGCTTTTTTTAAACTATATTTGAGCCTTGTGCCGTTTTAAGTTATTGAGATTGTAGTATCTTCGTCACGTTTAAGATTTTCTATGATCCATAGTCATACCAAGGGATGGGTTACATGGAGACTCGAGAAAGGAGCAACCCCGGTGAAAAGCACGAGCCTCCTAACTGTTTAGTGGGAGCAGCTTTTGGGAAAAAGAGAAGCATGGGTGAGGGAGAAGGATTTAAATTTTACCTCCCACCATCAAAACAGAGTATTGAGTGAATAATTCTGTCTGGATTGAAAAGTTTAAGGAAAAATCAAAAAAGTGACTATTGAATTTCAAAATGACAAATCAGAAATTATTACAAAAATATGTTGTTATTTGCTTTGTAAGTGTAGTCATTTTTTTATAAGTGTAGTAACCAATACTGATTTGTCATTTTGAAATTCAACAGTCACTTTTTTTAGATTTTCCCAAAGTTTAAAGGAGGCAAGAGATTTGTTTTTGTAATCTTTGTTTAATAGTTTCTATGCCCTTTTGATGGAACTAAGAGGGAAATCATTTCTCTTTTTCAAAATCACTCTTCTTATTTTATTCTTTTCTGTTCAGTATAATCAACTAACAATTAAAAATACATGCTGATTATCTAGTAGTCATTGACTTTGCAGCTCAATTGAATAAGTCCGACTTGTCTGCTATTCTATCTTCGCTTCTCCACTGTTTCTTTGGTTTTTTTTTTTTTTCCAGTTTCCTTCTGTCTTTATTTATTTATCTTTAGATAATACAACAGAGAGGCTTTCCCACCAATTGAATCACTCTTAAATTGAAATAAAAGGCTACGTTTGCACGCTAAAAGCACCTGTTGCCCAAAACATAATCTCTTCACTTTATTCTATGTAACTTCAATTTCAATGCTCTTGCATGGACTGCGATTTGTGTTGTGCAATATTCGATCCTATATCGTGATTTTTAACTTAAGTATGAAGTATGAATTAAATGTGTTTAACCAGAGTCATTACGACCAGAGATTAGATGAGTCAACCAACAGTTTGATTTGTGACGCAAGGATGTAAAATAAAGTGGTAAGCCAAATGGAAAAATCAAATCAATGATACAACAAAATTTACCATAAGGGATAATTTCACCCTTGTAAGACAGAAATTTTCTTTCCTTTTCTTTTAACAATATAAACACTTCAAGCAATCTTTTTTAATCTGCTTGAAGCATTATGATACAAATATGTTCTATAAGAACATGTTACAATTACAAAGAGTATGCATCCTTAGAAAGACAATGAGTCAACTTTGAGAGAGCTCTTCCTGTCTCTCTGCAACAGGAACCCTTACCTTTCCTCCTAAGGACAAGAAATCAAGCACCTTTCCGACACTAATTCTTCACCTTGACCCCTCAATTAGCATAATCTACAAGCCAATTCCTGCTCCAGGGCATATATGTAGTAAAAGAATAATGAATATACCAATCATCAATTAATTTCTAGCTAGCTCTGTCCTCTCCCTGCTTGTTCCACATCCACAGAACTCGGGCTACGAGGACTGAACTTCATGCTTAACATCCTCTTGAACGACTTGAGCCTAGATGTCATTGGAGACTTCAACTCATCGTCAGCACACCTGCTAGTAGAAGGTAAAGATGATGGATTCGTTTCTCTTGGTATGTCAATCACCAACATTCCATTACGTCTGTTGTTATTGTTACTACTGCTACAACTATCTGCTGCCGCTGATGATGAGGACGAAGGTGCCTCAATAGAAGGACCTGCGCCAATAGAATTTACTTGGATCTGATTTCCCCAAATCAAAACATTTGTGGGGAAATTTGCAGACTCTAAATCAACCTCGCTCATAGAGTCTGAACTTTCTGAGTCTGATGACGGACTATAGATGTCTGAGGTATTTCCTCGAACACCTGAACTATTATTGGATTCAGAGGACTCAGAAGCGACCGGGTTCCTACAAAGTGGACAGGTAGAATGGGATTGGAACCACATATCAATGCATTCTACGTGAAACCCATGATTGCATTTGGGTAATATCCTTGCTTTTTCTCCATGAGCGACCTCGCTGAGACAAACTGCACACTCCAAACCATCTTTGAAATCCTCTGGTCGGTATACCAATACAGGCAAGGACCTAAGGACTTCTGGGTCAAGCCCACGTCTCTGGACGCCGTAAATAGCGGGGTCTTGTCCTGGTGCGAAGACAAAGCGGCGGCGGCGGCGGCTGCTGCGGCGGCGGGTGGTGGTGCTGCTCCCTTCAGTGTTCCACCAGAACCATTTGGCGTAGAGATGGAGGAAACAGACAACCACAATCACGAAAAAGAGGAATATTATAGCTACGACCATGATCTTTCCAGTTAATTCCAGCCCCGGAGAGTCACGCGAATTGTCATCTGTTCCTGCCCAACCACCCATGGATCCAGAAACACACGCAGAAATTCAAAACCCAGATTATACCTCACCCTGAAATCTCAGAATACTGCAGAAGAAAGAAATCCAGAGAAGGTAGTGGTAGAGAGGAGAAAGGAGGTTTAAATGCAGGAATGAGAATGGAAGTCAATGAATTTGAGGAAGCGATAAGCGAGGAGAAGAGGAAATTGTATTTGAACTTGAATGGAGAGGAGACTTGAAGATTATATAAGTAAAAGGGGAGGAAGAGGAAGACAAATACGTAAGAGAAATTAAAGGAAGAACCGAAGAACCTCCACATTGGACTGGAGACTTTGGACTTCAAACTAGTTAACTGCGCAAGCAACCAAAGATAGAAAAGAAATACAAACACGCCGTTGGAAATATTCAAACCGTCTCGAGTAGCTTTCTGCGAAGTAATTACATGGAAAGCTGCAAAAAACGAAGAAGTAATTGTATGGAAAATTCGGCAACCAACATATATATATATATATATATATATATATATTCTCACTAATCAACAATCATTTTTTCATAATCATCAATTAATTTAGAATTTATATGAAATTTCCAACACGAGGATTATTATCATATAAAATTTCACATAGGAGTTATCTGTATTTGCAAAAATCACTCCTAAGTCTCATACAGCTACACCGTAAAATAATTTTAAGATCTTTAAAAATTATTAAATTACTGCGGAGTTTCAATTATAAATAAGTTTCAATTATAGATTGTTAAATTCAATGAATAAATACATGCAAAACTATATAATTGTCAATTTCATAACATTAAGCGTTAATTTCTGACATAAAATTGTTAATTCTGATAGATTAATTGTCAACAGTGTTATTCATATAAAGTTGTTAATTTCCTATACTAAATTTTTTAATGTTAAAGTTTAGTATGACATTTGTTAATCTTAAAGTTTAGTATGACATTAACCTTATCATTAACAACTTTTGTATATAAAATTAATAACTTTAATATAGAAAATTTGTTGTCTTTGTAAATATATAGTATTTTTTTAAAGCAAAAAATAAAATATTCTCTCATTTTAGGGAAAAAAATAAATGATTTTATCTCAAGACTTATTGATTATTATTGTGTGTTTCAAGATTTAAAAAATTATTTATAGAGACACTTATATATTACTTACTAGTAATAAGATTTTTACATCGATTAATAATTTTAATTTACATCCTTGTAAAGGTAGCATGGGTTGCATCTTTATCAACTAGACTAACCTTTTTTAATAAAACAAAATATTCATTTTGATTAATTGCAATTTAATCTTAACTTAGTTTTCATTAATATTTTAATTTACATGGATTAATTGTAGATCTGTTCTTTTTTTGACTTGTGTTAGCAGATGCTGATGCAAAAAAGGGGCAGCTTTTCGTCAATAAAAAAGAAAAACTAAAGTCAATGCTTATATGGAATAGTGGCGAAGATCACTTTGACTGGCATGAATAAAAGTAATAATAAGAAAATTATTTATATAAATCCATGACATAATTTAAGAAGTTAATATATAATTTAGAAAAAAACTTAATTTTCAAAGCAAATTCCGAGTTGGTCAGTAACAGTAAAACAAAATTAAATTAATCTACTCAAACGCCGTTGACCGCAAAAAAAAAAAAAAAAAATCCAATGTCAAAATATAAGTGCTTGCTGGCTACCTGTCCACGCCCTCCTCTGTGGACTCTTTGCCATACTCGTCATTGCTTATTAATTAAGTATAAAACTATAAATATTTTCATTAAAATTATAATTTTTTTATTTTTAAAAGGGGTTAATATAATTTTGTCCTTCAAATTTGTCTTCATTTTGGCTTTGGCTCCTCAAGTTTCAAATTTTAGATTTTGATCCTTCAAGTTTTTTTTATTTAAATTACTGGTATTTATAAATCAATAAAAATTTAGACTATTTTACCTTTAGAATGACCAAAACATATGTTTTGAAATTTAAGGGATTAAAACCAAAATGAAGACAAATCTGAAAGACCAAAGATTATATTAATCCTTTTAAAAGTTATATAAAAGATTCTATGAAAATAGAAATTTATTTCATATTTGGTTTAATTTTTTTTTTAATTTATAAACAAAATATACTTAATTGAATCTTTATTTAAGATATATTTTTAATGGAAATATACATATACATATACATGTAGGATAATTCATTTGAACAAGAAAACGGAAATTTTTATATAATTTTTGACTAAAATTATTCTGTATAATTACCTCTTAATTGAAAAAAGAGGCTGCTAGTTGATTTTTTTTTTTTTAAAAAAAAGGCGGCTGCTATTTATGCGGGATAATGAAACTTCTTGTATCTTTCTTC